TTTATGGAGAGCAAAATATATAATGCTCTTATAAGTTGGGGCCAAGTTATACCATGCATTTAGAGAGAATTTACATGGTGCGTGCACTTATAGAGCGTGCACTTAGAGAGGTCTTACTGTATGTCTAAACGTCATATACAAATATTTAAATCATAAATTTCTCCTGATTTACTATAAATCGATAAAAATTTTTCTGCCATCCATCCCTCTAAGCAGTGGTCAACGATACTAATCAGACAATGACTGCTAGTGTATTTATTTAAAAACAAACTATTGATTACTTGGCTAGTATATTACATATAGTAATTAATAATAAATTTATATCAATCCGTTTTGTTGCACAAAAAAACGAATTATATAAAATAGGAAGTGTGTTTGGATGCGATATTTATAAGAATCAGGGTTAGACTAATATAAAATATCTTTATATCGATAAAAAAAAAGTGAATACATTTAACATTATCAGATATTTACATAATAGGATAAATACACATGTATGAATGCATACAAGTATACAGGAAATAATTAACATTTCGAATTTCTAGCATTTTTAACACGATTCGTGACTTAAATATTTTTAAAACTATTACTTATCCACCTTTAAAACCCATAAATCTATTCCGGGAATAGGTCTAGACATACCTATAGCTTTCTTTTTGAAAACAAATCCTTCAATGACATTGAACTTAAAATTTCTAATTAGAATGGATATCAAAGTTTTAAATTGCAAATGTGCAAATTTCGAACCTATACAAATTTTATATCCTGCACCAAAAGGTAAGTACATATAATTCGTGATATCATCTCTTAATTTTGGATCCAACCATCTAGATGGGTCGAATTCATAAACGTTTTCACCCCATAACAAGGGATTATGATGAATTGTATTAACAGAAATTAGTAAGGTTGTTCCCTAATAATAATTTAATAATAAAGTCATAAATTATTATAAATTAATTTATATAAAGTAGCACAGTTTTGAAGTACCTTTGGAATAAAGTAACCGTTAAGTAATTCATCTTTTGTGGTCACACGAAATATTGATCGTGCTTTAAGTTCAAAAATTAATTTAAGGAATTAAAGTATCTTAAAGCATAATTAATAATATATAATATTTAACATTACCAGGCGGAACAACCCTGAGAGTTTCTTTGAAAACACAATCTAGATATTTTAGTTGTTCAATCTCATCAAAAGTAGGTTGATGATCACGATCAGGGAAAGCATTAATTAATTCGTCGCGAAGTTTATCTTGATATTTCGGATATTTTGCGAGAAAATATAATGCCCATGACACAGATATACTAGTGGTTTCATGACCTGCAGTGAGAAGTGTCTTAATCTAATATTTAATAGATTTAATGTTAATACAAACTTATACGATTTTATAAAATTATGTAAATTAATATAATAATGGACCTGAGATATCAATTCATCATGTGTTAATTTTTCATTATCAGGTGCAGTTTCATTAGCTTCTATCAATAATGATAATAAATCTTTTCCTCGAATTGGATTTTTTTTATGCTCAATAACTAATTTTTCAGAAATTGTCTTAATCGTTTTGAGGGAATTATTGTAACGAACGTTAAAACTGAATGGCAGTTTTCTAATAAAAGGAAAGAAATCAATAAGAGCATTATATAATGGAGAAGTGTTATAAGTGCCGATTATATTGTATGCGTATGCTAATTCAGATCCTGATGTAAAAGAGTTAAAGTTATAATTAAATCCTATTCGTATTTAAATGCATTTTAACATTAACAGAATAATAATAATGATTAGAATTTAAAATAAAATTAATAAAACCAATTAATAGAACAAAAGCAAAATCTATTCGTACCGACCAAACCAATAATATCTAAAGTTATCTTGCGAACTAATAAAGCAATGGGAATCCTTTCCTCTTCTTTATCCCCAATTTTCTCCAGGCAGTAATCTTTCAATTGTTGACCACCTTGAACAAATGTTGGGGTCATTTCCTTAATCTTAGTAAAAGTAAACAAAGGATTCATCAATTTTCTTTGTCGTCGGTGATTGCTTCCTTGAGCACGAACCAATCCACTTCCAAAAGGATCATAACTTAGAGATCTAGCATTAAAACCTTGATAGTCGTATGAATTTAGAATTGATTGAACAAGTTTTGGATCGGTAATTACGATTTGAGGTTCGTTAAACAATTTATGTAAACGGAAAACACCACCATATTGTTTAGCTAGATGAATTAGATTTTCATCAACCTAAAAATATATTTTTTAAAAAAATTTAAGAATATAACTTGTGACTAATAAAAGTTATATAAATTTACCTTGACTTTTAATAAAGAAGAATAATGACCAAGAATAAAACTATCAATAGGTGGGCCAGGAATTTTACATAATGGTGACAAGTATAATGGATAAAAATAAATTTTATATAAAGGATAGCCAATTAATGTAAAAAAAATTATAAAAAGAGTGATAATGCTCAGGTAAAAATCCATTTAAAAATTTAAATTTCCGACTAAGCAATATTTGAGTGCTGCTGGTGAAAACATGGAAATTTTAATATTTTTATTTGGCATCACTATTTTAAAGTTACATAATCTCTTCAATTTTCGTGTATCCCATGTTTCCATTATGTTACCGAATAATAAAAACAGATATTATTGATAGTAGTACATATGTTAATATAATGTTACTATCGATTTGAGAAAGCTGTAATACACAAACTTTCGGATTTAATTCCGATAATTTAGTTATAACATTTATATGATGATGTCGCAAAAACTAGCTTCGTGATTATTATCCTTTTTTTAGCAATTACTGGATTTTAGAAAAAATATAAATAACAGCCCTAGCATCGCCCATAAAAAAAATACAGCTGACGTCATACGTTCAATTGTATATATAGTATGGATAACGGAACTAGATAATTTACATATTATATAGCTAATTAGATATAGAACTCAGGAGTGTTTTTAGCAAATTTAAACGTAATCCATCAAATATTCGAATAGTTAACATTTATTATACTCTATCACAATGAAAAGACCTTGTTAGCATCTCAGTCATAATCATACCAAACCTATAAATGTTAGCTGCTATTATATAGTTTTTATTTCATACTTCAGCATTTCTGGCCAACATAAGGCAATACGTTCTTTACAAAAATCTGATAATTTCGAGATATGCAATTATTTGCAAATAATAAGCAATATATAGTGCATTATTAGTACAAAATTAGCAATTTTAATAATTTATTGCAAGATTATTTCATTATCAGCGCCTTTAAATATCCAATAAATTGGTTAAATAATGATAATATTTAGGCCTTTATTATTACTAAAATATTGATAATATATTGTAAATACTAGCATTTTATTAGCATAATAATTGACAAATATATTTATACAATTAAAATATAGTAATAAAATGCAATAAAGTGCTTATATTTGCAAAATTTTGTACGTTAATAGTACATTATCTGCACCGTTAAATTGCTTATTTTTAGCAAGTTCAATTTTGACAGATTTTTGTAAAGTTGTAAATTCTATCTTCTAAATCAGAACCGTCGATTTGTAATATAAAATATTAGAATATCATTAATGTAATGATTTGAATCTATGAAAATTACCACGAATAATCCATTTTCTATAGAATAGGCGGACAAACTCCGCAAACTCTCTATTAAAAAATTAATGATTACTAATCATTAACGAAGCTTATTTCTTATATTGCCCACCTATTCTATAGAATATCCGTAAAGGAACTTTTCAATACTTATTCTACTGAATTTTAGAAATGTCCAGCTCCTGAACCTATCCGGTTCAATGTTGAACTAAAATTAGATTTAACATTTTGATACTTGAATCTTGGTTTAAAATACAATATATGACTTTTAGTAAAATACTGTATATTTACTGACTTTTAGTAAAGAATTAAAAAAAATAGCTTATCTATCAGAAAATAAGAATTATCCAATATCAAATATCATCCAAAATATGCTATAGTACTGTAAGCAATTGACATATTCCCTTTCTTTAGTCTGGTTAAAATGCAAAAGCACAAAGATCTTATACTCAAGCCAATTACTATAAGGAATAAATAAAGTTTAATGATTGAAGAACCAGGATTATAAATGACGGTTATTACTATACATGAAGTAAGAAGAATTATCACTTTTATTATCTATAGCAATTCTGACTAAAATAGATAATAATGTGGGTCCAATACTATAACCAAGTAATATCAATTCGACATCTTACATAATATACAATAGACGGAAAGGACTTCGAGAATTTGTACTCGTGTGCAGTTTTATTTATACCTTGCTTGGAAAGTTGCAATTCATAAGTCACAACACTATCGCAAGCTGCAACAGATCTTGGAATATGCAACTAGTCTTATAATTGTAGGTGTATCAAGGGCCTGTACTTATCTCTACTACTTTTGTCCCCGTGATTATCGTATACACCATTTTCGTTAATTAGTAACCAGACTCCCTTATATATTAAAAACAACTTGTGATTACCTCATTATTAAAAACCGTTACTCACGTAACTGATCTGGATTATTATGACACTAAGTCACGTGACATGTGAATCGAATTCACAGCCGCAGTAATCGCTAACGAAAGAACATAAAATATTAGCAAAAATAAGGCCAGACCAATTAAATTCCGTGTTTTACATTACCCCTAACTCCTGGGGGGTTTATTGTGCTATAAATACGGGTTTTTTTTTTTTTTTTTTTTTTTACTATGGGGAGATATTCTAGGGAGTAATGAAAAACACAGAATTTAATGGGTCTGGCCTAATGGACGCGAATGAATTGTCCAAACGAAGAATATAAAAACACTGATCCGAACCCAACACTATCTCTATAAATCTAATTAACTCTGATTATTCGACTAGGTCTTTCCACGCCTCAATCGAAGCCTTACCAATATTGGGTTTGGTTAAAATAGTTATAGTGGTTGGGCAGAGTAGTTTTGTTAGTATTAGTAGTGAATTATCCATATTGCGACCCTACAAAATTCCCGACGCAGTTTTTTACGTACGTATGTACAATTCTGTGCAAAATCAGATGTAAGGCCACGCAAGGCTGATTTTTCATTTACGTAACAGGGATGTGCCACTGCGCAGCTTGCGCATTATTTCATTGCGCAGAATTTTTTGCAGTGGATTCAAAAAATGTTCGATCTGTCCATCCCAATGCAATCCTTTTTTTGTCAAAAAATTCTGTTAAATTCCAATTGTGCCAATTGTTCTATTTTCGCTATTTGGGTTTGTCCCGTCATTTTTATCCAAGTTCCATCAATGATACCGTTATTATCCGATAGAACTGACAGAAAAAGAAACCGGGCTATTGATCCAAATTTCAGATTCCATATAATGCGAAACGAAAAAATTAACTTTGCGTAGTCTAACATATCACGATCAGGAAGATTCAAACATCTGTTTTGTAAAAACAATGCTTATTTCTCCAAAATATGCATAACAAATCATATTTAGTGCACTAACTAAAAGTTTTCCTTGAACGCTTTTACTATATAATTTAAAAGAATTTTGTTAACTGTGAATCTGCGCCATAAGCCTGGCGCAGAATTCATAGTTCATTTTTTTTATCTTTAATATATCATTAAAATATGCAAAGACAAGAAAAAAAAACCAATATTTGTTGTACAGCATACTATTAACTTTAATATACTGTATCTTTAATATATCATTAAATATGCAAAGACAAGAAAAAAAACATTATTTGTTGCACAGCACACTATTATCTTTAATATGTCATTAAAATATGCAAAGATAAGAAAAAAAAAACTATTTGCACAGCACACTATTTGCATATTTACACCTTTCGTTTTTTTGTAAACAAAAAATCTTAATATAAAAAAGAAAATTTCACCATGATAAAATTTTATTTCAAAAAAATGATATTCAAATTTATTTTCACCTTGTTAGCCTTTTTCTCGAAAATTAATATAGTTTATGTCAATGCAGCACCCAGTGATGGTCGTTCCGTTCACAATACAATCTTAATAGGGGATAAATTATATATTTCAGGAGGTTTAACTAAGGATAGTTTTCAGATGACCTTTTCTATATCGATGTTTCAAAGTCATTTAATGTATATACACCACCGATAACAAAATTACCACAAATGCCTGTACTTCATGCTGGTTCAGCTGCGACAGTTTGTGGTGTGGATAATTCTTTGATCTGTATAATGGGTGGTCTCATGATTGATAATAAAATAGTATATTATAATCAATTTTGGACTTTTGATATAAAGCAAGAAATATGGACAAATCAATCTATTTTAGGACCTAATACAGGTTTTGCATACCAATTTCGAACACCTGAGCAACCAAATTAGTAGCAATCAAATTCAAACATAGTAGCAATCAAATTCAAACATAGTAACAATCAAATTCAAATATAGTAGCAATCAAATTTGAACATTCAACCAATCAAATTCAGACATTCTAGCAATCAAATTTGGACATCTTAGCAATCAAATTTGAACAGCAATATCTCATAATATAGTGGCCCAAATCATATAATTTTGGTACCATTCAATTTATCTTGTCAAGATAAGTTAAATGGTATCAAAATTATGTAATTTAGACTAGTAGATCACGAGATATTTCTGTTCAAATTTGATTTAGATGTCCAAATTTGATGGCTAAAATGTCTGAATTTGATTGGTTAAATGTTCAAATTTGATTGTTTCTATGTTTGAATTTGATTGCTACTATGTTCGAATTTGATTGCTCAGATGTTCGAATTTGATTGCTCAGATGTTCGAATTTGGTTGCTCAGGTGTTCGAAATTGGTATGCAAAACCTGTAATATGCATAATATATTATATGTTTTGTTCGCAATGCAGTCACTGATTCTAGAGGTCGCGTATTGACGTATGAATATGATGTAATGTTTATTATTGATTCTACAGACTTTGCTTTGTCATATCTCTGGTCATTTCATCAACCAGTAGTGCAAATATCTGGTACATCGACAATTTTAAATAATGGAATAATAATCTATATCGGTGGTCAGATATACGCACAATACCCAAAGTATTCTAATTCCATGTATTTGGTAAGTAGAATAAAATTATTTTGTTATTTTGTTGCCAAAAATATTTAACTAATTTTTTTGTCTTTACAATAGCTTGATGTTTATGATACTAATTCGTGTGCTTGGGGTAAAATGGTAGTTATTTCATCACTTTTGACTAATAATTTTGGTTTGACACTTACATCGATAAATTAGAATGTAACAGGTCCACCAGGAATTCGTCCGCGTCTTAAACATTCTGCTGCAATTGGTAATTATTAGCATTAATTATTATGAATGATTGTACTTTAAACCTATACTATTTATACATACAAAATATTTTTTTAAAGATTCTTTAGGATTTATTTACGTATTTGGCGGGGAAACAATTGATAGAAAAAATGCTACTCATCAAATTTCGATAAGAGCCGATCCATCTCCAAATCTTATTGTTTTAGACACAAGCACATCATCCTGGATTGTTCGAGAGTATAATGACACCGATGGACTATCTCCACCTTCTATTACTGATCATGGAGCAGTCATAGTCAAAAATGATATGATCATTACTTATGGTAAAAAAAAAAAAAAAATCTTTCTAAAATAATAATTTAATGTAATTTACTTAAAATAAATGCTATTTATCCTTAAAATAGGTTTTACAAATCTTGAATTATCCAAAAGACTATATATATATGATGTTAATGCGAATGCGTGGGTTGCTAATTTGTGGTATAATAGGATGTAATGTCTATTTGGTGTAAAGCCTAATGCTAATAACTGAGGCTTATAACAATAAATTATACCGTTATATTGTGACAATGACTATAGTTTTTCTTTCTCAATGTTATATACTATTGTTCATAAATAAAGAATATGTATAAAAGAATAAATAAAGAATATGCATAGAAGAACAGGAATAACTACAACAGTAGTTTTTAAAACCTAAATATACCTGAAAGCGACAGTTTTTGCATTTAATATTTAACGACACTTTATATATGCATACTCAATACCTACTTTCCAAATACCCTTACTAATAAAAAAATTCAATTAGCGATAACTCATTCACTGTTTTATTAT